GCTTTGGTCACAAATATCCAACATCTCAAACTAACAAATAGCTAAAGTTTCCAGCGTCCACCTCCCTTCTCTTATCACTTTAGTAAATTTTAAACTATTTTAAACCAAATGAATTCTTTGATGTAGTTTGGCATTGAAACTCCTGTGTGTCCATGAAAAGTTCTGGCCTTGAAACAGTTTTGCCTTCAGTAAGGCTTGTTTTTCTCTCCTCTCCAAATGGCAGTAGTGTTTGGTATCTATAGCCAACAGTTTAACAGGCTTCTGCTTACATCTTTGATAGATGTCTTTCATGCCATTATTCTTGAACATTATTATTTTATCTTAACATACCATTAAATTGTTCTCTGTGGTCACACATTGCATTACTGCCATTTATTAATTTGACATGACAAAGGTGTGATTCATATTGTTTTAAGTTTTGTTTTGAAAAGCTGTAGTTAATATTAGGCATATCATTACAGCACAAAGACATTTAACTTGTGTGATTTTTGTGACAGAAGTGCAGGTGCTGCCAGCCAGATTTCATGTGGTTGTTTGAAGTAAATGCTTAATGAACAGACTGTTTTGTCAGGTGATTATGTTGTTACCACTTACATAACCATTACTTCTATTTATGGGTTTCAAAATGCACTGAACAGCTAAAGGAGTCATTTTTATGCACCCTACAACAAGCTTGGCTTGAAGATGTTGCATAGTGACACTAGCTTTCGATAGACAAAGGCAGAATTTCTAAATATTTTTTAAAATACAGTACTAGTCAGTGGTGACCATTTCTCTCTAGTAACAGATTGCAACACCTGAGATATCCTAGGTATTTTATATTTAAATATGGAGAAATATAAATAGATCCAAGTGTTATGGTTACCAGGGAGGAACGTGGGTTATTTAAATAACAATTAAATCATTCTGTTTATATCTGTCCAAAAGGGAAAAATAAGTAAGCAGTATCTTAAGAGTCCTGCTTTTAGGTCCCTTTCACCTTCAGGATCTAACACTGACTCACTGAATACTGGCAGGACTGCTTTTTGTAGGGCAAAACCCATTTCTGATGCACGTGGCTCCTTGGGAGTCATTCAAATACTACACTTGACAAAAATAGTGGTGGTATTCATTATAGATTGGGAGGAAGCAGCAAACTTGCACTCATTTGGCATCCTAATGAATGCATATAACATAAATGCAAAGGAGATCTATACGAGATAAAGCCATTAACAAGAGGGTGTGTGATAAGCAGGTGTGACTGCTTTGCACATCATCAAGTCTGCAAGGCTCCAGAAACCACAGCTTTACTTTGTCTTGGTATCTTATAAAGAAGGAAGAAGCTTGATTTCCCCCACCCCCAAATTTTGCAAAACAAAAAGCATGAAGTGCGCTCACACTCCTAAGTTTCCACTGTTCCTCGTCACATAGGCCCTGCTTCAGCAAAGCATTTCAGCATGCGTTCACCTGAAGTTTGCAGATTTCAGTGGGACGGCTCAATGGTTAAGGTGGAGCACATGTTTAAGCGCCTCTTCATAATGGATTTCAGTAACATTTGTAATGCATCTGTCCCCCTCCCGCCCCCCACACCACCCCCAGGCCTCTTGTATAGCAGTCGCAGCTGACAAATTTGTCAGATAAAATGAGAAATCCATTTGCCAGCTAGTGGAAACTTGTGGGGCTCATTACCACTTTGTCTTACATAATCCTCTATGTTACCTAACAGGGTCAGCCCCCAACTTTAGCGCCTTGAGAAATAACAATCCGAATGCAGTCAATGGAAACTTTGCCATTGGCTTTCATGAAACTGAGATATCACCACTGTTATATAAGTTCCATTCATTTTCACATCCAAAGGTGCACGTTACCCAGGTCTTCTTACCCTCTTAGAGCCATTGCTCTGACCCTTTTACCCCTACACCTTCTGCTATTTACTTTGGCATCTTGGTCAACTATGATGCGACAGTAACGAGCCCCAAAATTGATTCCAAAATGTTGATTTTTCCTACAAGCTATTAATGTAGGTAACCGTAAAAGTGAGTGCTACTGGCATATTAGCAAACATGGGTTGTAATAATGTAGTTGCCATATTGCCAGATGTATTTTGACTTGTTTTAGTAGAAGGAATGTAGTTACTAAAGACTTATTATTAGAACACCTAAAAGTCTGCTAGGTACAACAGAGACAAAATAACGGAGAGTCGTTCCCTACAATAAGTATTTATAGTGCAGGTGAAGAAAAGGTGAAGTGAAAACAGAAGGGAAAACAGTGCACACATGATGGTGTCAGGTACCTTTACATCCAGCCTGATAGAAACACGCTGTTCCTGAGACATGAATTTGTGAGGTTTTTTTATGATAGCTGTTTTTTTTGTGTTTTGAAAAACTGAACCCACTCTGTCTCCTATTGTAAAAGGGAAGTTTTGTAGGAAATATTATTTAAAAAGGACATTGTCAAGTGCATTTTCATACTTATTAGAAATAATAACATTACAAACTTGTTCATAATAACCCCTTGGAAGTTTAAAAATGAAAACTGCCACCGTTTCAGTGTCCCTCCTCTCCATTTCACTTGGATATTAGTTTGTCATTATAGGGTTACTCATGAGTGTTGTGCTTTTTGGCATTGATATATTTTTCAGAAAAAAGAATTGAAGCATTTGTTTTGAAAAAAGAAAAACACATTTAAAGAATTACATGGACTTTGCAAACAGATATAAGAAAATAAAAGGTAGGTCAAGTTTTGGGCCTACAAACCTGACAGTGTCCCTTTAATTTTACCAATGATGTTATATTTGCGAAAAGTTCATGATTATAATATGCTAAGAGGTGACAGACAAATGAAAAAGGATATTGTTAACCTTAATTAATAGCTGGTCTTGCTCTCAGGCATTTTTTTTTTTGTGATGTCAGTGAATAATGGCTTCAAATGACATGACAGCCTGCTTTGACATCTTCTCTTTTTGTTATTTGTGAAATAGGATTATTTTACTTGTAGGTTATTTTAAGTAGGATAGTTGCTAAGAAAGTGATTAATATGAAGGAGCAGTACCTAGCATACAGGTGGGTTTGCTAAGGACCCAGGAGAATATTGCTTTTAAGCATCCTGTAGTGAGTAGGTCTGCCTCTTGTTTGAGTTATTTGAAAGAAATACCTCCGCTGAAATTTGCTGTGCAGTCTTAGGCCACAGCAGTGGTAGCTACATATGTTTGTTGGGGGTTTTCTTTAGCAAATTTGGGTTTCTCATTACTCATTGGATGTTTTATTAAGTTAAAAATTATTTTAAAATGAATTATTTGGATTAGTGTCAGGACTGGACTGATGATTTATAGGGCCACCTGCTGCTGGAGGAATGAGGGAAATTGGTCAAGAGCTGCCTTCCTCTCCAATCTTGGTGCCGGAGCTGGCAACGAGACCATTAATTCCCCAGCATGTGTGAGGTCCCAGGTAGACACTCACACTGCTTGTGCATTAGGCTGACCCCTATCGTATGATCTAACTGAAAGCTGGCTTTGCTTTTTTATGATTTTTACATAATGAGCTAGGCTTTAAAAAGTCACCCTCCCAATTCTCAAATCGAAAAATCATGATTATGCGCCTATATGCAGTGGCTTCTCTTTTTTTATGCGTAGCCACTGGCGAGTGCACGCATATTATCTCCTGGTACGATTTCTCTTTTATTTTAGAAAGGTACTTGACACAGTAGCACGTCATGGTGCTAAAACTATTGCCTCAATGATCATCTGTATTGATGAGCCAGTGACAGTCGATCTGCTGTGTCAATGCGATCGAATTTTGCGCTCTTAGCAAAAAAATGAAAATTTAAAAAAATCCCAAAACAACCCCTGCAGGCATATCTTTTACTTTAAATACATTTAGATAACATTAAGGGCATGGCTTATAACCACCAAAACCAACAAACTCAGAGTTAAGGCTTCTCACTTCATCTCCAGTGCACACAAGGGTGCCTGGCTTTTCCAGCACGAGTGGTACAGGAGATTACACACTGTCCTCAGATCCCCACAACACCTAGGCAGAAAGTTTGCCACATGACTGCTGCCGAATATTCCAGGTATGTTACGTTCACAATGCACCTGCTGTGCTGCCGAACGCGCCGGGAATGTCTTAACATACCATTGAGTTCAGTGGAATGTTAATGGACGACGGCAGCCCAGCAGGTGTGATGGAAAAGTTGCAACGAAAGGGGAAAGGGTAAGGATTCAGTGAGAAGCTTTAACTTTGAATTTCCTGGCTTTTGTGAGCAAGAGTCGGGCCCTTAATGTTGTTTTAATGTATTTTTTGTGTTTAATTTTTAGTAAAAATTTGAACACGATCCAGGCTACAGAGGTTGCAGTGGATAAGAAGTTAAAAAGCTTTGGTTCGAGATTACAGGAGGCTGCAAGAGAAATTAAAGACATGGAAATGAGGATCGAGTGACAGGATGCTATTTTGCCTCAGAATACTGAAGATTGTAAAGCATTGAGAAATCGAATTCATGACCCTGGAAATCAAGCTCAGATTAAGAAATGTCAGGTTGGTAGGGGTTCCTGAAAGTTTGGAGCTAGGATAAACTGAGATTTGTTTGTTTTTTTGTTTGTTTTTTCCATAATGCATTTCAAAGGTGCTGGGTTCTGGGGATGGATGGTTTTAATATTCTTTTACCTGTATAATGTGTCATGATCTGTCACATTCTTTAGAAAGCCAACTGAGCCGAATTGGCTTTTAAATCTGAGTTCAGCGTTTGCAGTTGCAGGATCCAATTTTTATCTAGACTACGGTTTTTGTCCTTTGACATTGGATTGCATGTTTTACTGTTAATACAAGCATGGAAAATATTGCTGTTGTGTACATGTTGCTTTATCCTGCTACTTGGAGGATTTGCTGTAGAAACCAGACACGTGGTGCACCGTGACCTTTCTAGATAAGAAACAGACAGAATGTACGCACATTGTAGAAGAAATAGTTTTTTGTTCAGAAGCCTGATTCATAGTGAAACTGTGTCTTTTCAAATGTAAACTTTAAAAAATACTGCCACTGTGATTAAGTTACTGTAAATTTACTTAAGTGTTATTATCTGTACTTCAGTGATATGGCATTTGTGGCTGAAAAGTTGTGCAACGGGAAATCTAGACTTAAGGTTTGGGAGGTTTTAGCAAGCAAAGGAAATAACTGTGTTTTTCATGGTCAAGGTCACTGGGTAGGTTTGAGTTCTTAAGGCACCACTGGGCACTCCCAGTCTGAGGTTTTGTAGGGTAAAAGTGAACTTCCAGTTATTATCATTGCCTTTTCTTTTATATAGTGGGCCTGTGTCAGGTCTGGCACTTAACACCAATATTAAGTAGGGGTAACTCAGTTAAAATCCACAAAGATACAGTGAAATAAATGAAAGCAAAACCAAGGACTTGTCTCTGTGTTGTGCTTTCACGTTAGTATTGCAAAACTAAAGCAGCTCAGGGGAGTGACTTGCATTATACTCTGGTTTTTTCACTGTCCGTTGTTTTGGTATCAGTGTTACAGTTTCCCATTATTTCTGGCAAGGAGATACAAAGAATCTGCTTGGTCTCTCAGGTTCCAGGCTGGGAGTGCTGGACTGCCAGTTGTGGGAGGGAAAAAATCCTTTCTTTTTGTGACTAGATCATAAGAAATTCATTCCATGTTGAACCTCAAGCCATATTTGACAGTTACCTTCCAAAGCGTAATTGTATTTTATGTTTATTGCCCTTTAGTTTCTGTCTGTAAGACGCTTTATTTTGAGGGCATTTTTGAGTCCTGGGAAAATGTATAATAGAGCTGTACAAATAAGTTCCCATTAAAGAGCAAAAATAATTAACTGGTAATGGTAATAATATGGTGGTGTTATAAACTGTATATTAATACATTGTGTATTTTATCCTGTATTTGCATGTGATACGTTAAGAACTACTGCTAAAATCCAGGATAGCCTGTTGTCCATTATAGGCGATACAGATCTTTATTGTAAGGTAGCTCAACACAACATAGGTTTGTTTCGAACATAGTTTTTTAGCTGATGTTACATATTTGTTATTGAAATGAACTCTGAAATTTTCTGCTGTCTTGCCACGGGGGAGACTCGGTGTAGTGCATAATGGGAACTGACGTATTTGGTCTTTTTTTGAGAGAGAAACGTTTTTCCATGAGCATCATATCCAGGGCAAGCATTGGTGGTGGATTCCTTACTGTCTGAAATGCCTGACTGTTGTTCCATGATTAGCACAGTGTTTGTTCACTAGCATGATCGGTCTGTTTGGAAGACACTGGGGCTGGATACAGACATTTGAAAAGCCCAAGGTGGCATCAGTCTAAGTTGCATGATTTTCTGTAAGCAGCGTAGTTTAGATCGGTAGCAAAAGAAAGACGCATTAACCCTTTGGTGGTGGGGAGCAAATCTTAGACCAGCAAATCTTAGGCCATTTTTAAACCAGTCTATTTGTGCTGAACTTCTGTTCTGTTATGGGTATAGATGAGTTTGTTGTGCCAAACTTCTGTTCTGTTGCAGGTATAGACCAGTTTCCAATCACTTATATTGGTAAAAGTAATGTCTGTACCTGGCCTAGGAGAGAATGAAAAAGGATCAAATTATGCTTGCTTGGTGATGAAATAGGGTTAATAAAATTCCCTTGTGCTAATTCCCTTTTGCCTTAAGCTTGCAAGATCCTTTTGCTATTTGCTACTTGTCAACTATCTAGTTAAGTAGCACCCCCTCACACCCAAGTGTCTTTGTTTTTCCAGCCACACACAGTTTCAGGGTAGAAGTGGTTGTCTCCTTTTTTTTTTTCTCTGACCGGCCTATTGTTTTCTCTTTCAATAGAGAAGTGTGTGTGTGTGTGTATATATATATATATACACACATACATATATATATGTGTGTGTGTGTGTGTGTGTGTGTGTATACACACACACACATATATTTCTGTCTATATCCCCATAGGACCTCAGTCTGTCGACTGATGTCAAGGATGAGTCCCAACTGGAGGTCCACTCACCCACGTCCTTGCCTGCCATGACTTGGTGTTTATAGGAGTAGATTCAGTTCCTGGGCATGTAGTTCTAGTTGATTGTCGTCCACTGTCCTATGTTCCTGAGGGCTCCACCCTCGCCCGTTCCACCAGGTATCAAATCGTCCTTTTGTCAACGTTTGGCCGTCAGGTTCTCTCCCGGGGGCCTCTGTCAAAAAAAAGAAACCAAGCGCTCCCGTCCTGCATTATCGTTCCCCTGTCTTTTTGAAAAAAAGAAAAAAATATATATTCAGTGAGGTCACTTTCTCCTTCACCTGTTCCCGTCTTTATGGCAGCTCTTCATGAGCCTCTTATTGGGATCATTACAATCCCCTCACCCCACTGGGTCTGCCATTGATAATTTGTCTTTGCACCCTTTTTAGAGTCTTAATGGTACCTTTCTTCCGGAGTGCCCCTCTATTAGGATTTTTACGGTACCTTCCCCAGCCAGGCTGCAGGCAAGCAGTTGCTGGTAGTGCCACTGCACCAGGCCTTCCTGCAGTCTGCTCTGGGCAGCTCCTTGTCTGCAGGGGCCTCCTGCCCGCTCTCCAGTTTTCCTGCAGCATTGCTCTTCCTCTTCCGGTCCTGTGCTCTCCCCCCTGCCTGCTCTGGGCTCTTCTTTATAGCGAGGTTTGAATTCCCGGCCCCTGCCCTTCAGAAACACCTTGTTAAGGAGTATTTCTGCCAGGCCCTTTGGGACTGGGGCAGCTGCTTCTGTCTTTGGCCAGTGCTCCTTTGCCCCCTGTGGCTCTCTCCCTCTCTCTCGCACACTACTGAATAGAAGATTTTAAAAAATCTAGTAAAATTCAATAGAAATTCTGTCCAGAAAAACATTCTAGGTGGCTTCCAAGCTGTAAAGCAGCACAAGTATGGGAATAGTTTGCATATCGCATAGATTTAGATCTTTGTTTTAAGCAGTTTCTTCTTCAAAGGTTAAGTTTTATAAGCACATAAATAGTTTAAATAATCATACAACGCTATAGTGTTTATTAACAATGTGCCCTGGGTAATGTGTAGCTGCCAAAGACTTACTTGTGACTTTGTCACACTCTCTTAATCATTTCCTCCAACCCCATAAACCACCTCCACTCTACAGGGTAGATAGAGGTTGCTGAGTACGGGCCGGTGGCATAGCTCCACGCTAACTCAATTCCTTGGCAAGCTTGTCTTGCAGGGCAGAGCAAGGAGCCACCTTTTTCTTCAGTCACTTGCAGAGAGCAACCTAATAAGACTTGCTTCTGCCCCTCTAGCTCAACTCCTGTGACCTGTGATGCAGGTAATCCATGCATGAGTGGATGACTTATGTGTCCTTTCACGTTCTTACATTAAGTTTAACTTGAATTGTTTAAAATTAAACAATTGCAGAGCATTTTAAACTGACACCAACACAAATCCAGAGAGATGTTAATGGCTGTATTGAGAACTTCTGGCCTGCTTCTGCTTGAAACATTTCATATTGCACATACTGTAGGAGAAAACCCCCAGTTCCTTGCTCAGTATATTTTTATCTTTGGAAAAAGTCATTTTGTATTTCTGTTCTATAAATGCAGCAGTTCAATACAATTTCCTCAATTATGTTTGCATAGTTATAATTTCAGTACAATTGGAAAGATGCTCTCAAAGCATTTTCATTGTGTTTCATAAACATTCTCTTGAAAATTATACTTAACTATCTGGAATCTTAAAAATAGAGCCTGTACAATTCACTCTTTTTTTCCTACTGTATTCAACATGTATCATTTGTCTGTTATCATCTGTTTGTTCCAAGATGGAGATCCTGGATTTATATGGCGAGAGATGGGGGAGTATGGATTTTAATAAAGTCATACAGAGGAATTTTATGAATTCTGTAAACTTAAGAAGCTTTTAGGTCAGTTTTGAGCCAGTGAACTTTGACATTGGATCTTCAGCAAATCAAACATGATTGCATTCATTATTTTTAAATGTGATTTTAGTCTCAGCAGATCATCGTCATCTGTGTACATGTAAACAACAATCCTCACCATATCCCATAATTTCTACTCTGTGGGGCCCCAGGAGTATTTTACTCATCCTGTCTTGAGTTTGCAAAGATGTGGAATCTCGTCAGAATACAAATCTTGGACGGGATGGCACAGATGCTACTCAGTACTGCTGTAGGATCCTCACCTCATCAAAATGCACGCCTTCGCTGTCTTCAGCAATTCAATATCAGATCTTGAATCTGCCCTATGACAGTGCATTTTCTAGCTGTCCTACAAATGCATAAGCACAAACCAAGCAGGTGATTGCTTCTAAGCACTGTCTTATCTTCTTTATTATAGTGTTTGACCAAGAAAAAGATCAATTCCTATTTTACTGGTGTTCACATCTTGAAATCTTTTTTCTTCCACCAGACAAACACAGAGAGATACTTGAATCTGCTTTTTGTAAAATGTATTATGTTGATGTAAAATACCTTTTTTTCTCTGTTGCATCACAGGCATTCGACCTCCGATCATGAATGGGCCCATGCACCCGCGCCCTTTGGTAGCGTTGCTGGATGGCAGGGATTGCACAGTAGAAATGCCTATTTTGAAGGATGTTGCCACAGTGGCATTTTGTGACGCTCAGTCCACGCAAGAAATTCATGAAAAGGTAATGCCATGGAATAACTGTGATTAAGATACCTAGTCCATTTTAACAATACACTCATCTAAACGGTATATTGGTTAACTCTTCAAGATATCCAGCTTGAACTGTAGTTAGGCAAATTTCAGATGGATGGCAAATGGGACAAAAATATCTTTCTAGAGATGCATTTCTATATAGTGTGATCCTAGCTCTGACCTATTGCGTACAGCAGAACTGCATTTGTAGACAAACTGCATTAGCTCAGAGACAGTAATTAGAAAAGATTACTATAAACTCTTTTGATGAAAAGCCAAGTATTGGTTTTATGTTGGATGTATTGAGAACTTATGGAGCAATATTCCCCACAATGCACTGAGCCCTCAGATTTGGAAACCAGGCTCTGAAGGGAGGAAAGCAGCAGATCATTGACTAGTAATAGGTAGGTAGCAGTTGAGGAGGAGCAGGGAGGGGGGCAGTAAGCTATGAGAGAATCTCATCTTCCCTGAAGATCAGAAAGAGATACAGTGGGAGGCTAAGGTAGACACAAATACTAACGTGATGGCCAGGTGAGATTGGCACACGTAAGTGTCTGTATATGCTGCTATGATTGTGCATCCGGAAACTATTCCAAGCTAAATGTGGCCCAAATGTTATGGCTACTTACTAAATTGCACCAATATTTTTGCTCTCTCCCAGTGCATTGTTCGACTTGTCCCACGCTATTTACTGTAACCTTTAGGCTTGTAACAGCTAATGGCTCCTTTTCAAGTGCTCTGCAGTAGACTGAGCCCATAACAGTTTAAACTATTAATTTTATTTACTCTTTACATTTTTATAAAATATAGCACTAATAAACATTTTAAAGGCTGGTGTATTTCTATGATGAAAAGCCTAATCCTTTCTCAGAAAGTTTTATGTTAAAAATAGCTGCTTGAAAGTAAAAGCAATCATTTCCTGTCAGCTTTTTAAGTGAATGAGCTTATTTTATATGGTCCCTTTCTCCTCATCAGCATTGTTCTAATAGGATCAAAATGCATTTAGAAACAGGATGTTTATTCTGAAAAGGAGTCTTTCTGTTATTTTAAGCTCTTCATAAGTAGAATGTGTAAAGGAAAATTTTAAAGCAACCTTAAAGTTGGTGGGGGGGAGGTTAGAGAGAAGCCAGAGGATGGATAGTGTGCTAGCTGTTTTGCAGACTAGGAATTCTTCATTCTTATTGTGTTTTAGGGGAAATGTTCAACCAAAGGAATAACTACGTACTTCTCAAGTACTACATATAGTTTTTCCGTGATATCTGATGTAGATTCTTGGACTTCCTGTCTAACAGCAACTTGTATTGGAGTCTGTGATTGTTAGAACCGTTATCGGGAATGATCTTGGAGAGTTTTTCTGCACCGTCATTGTTGCCATAGATCCTGTAACTCAAGTTTTCTTTGTTTTCTTAGACATAAAATAACTTTAGAAAAACTAAAGAAAGGAGTCTCTGCTCTGTGTGCTTCTTTCTTCAGGATATATATCACTTCCCCACAGAATACAAGCAATTAAAAAAATGTACTTCTGTAGGACCTTCCTTTTAAAGAGAGAGGTGAATGATTAGTTAAGGGCATCATTGGTAAAATTATAGACCTGATCCAATTCTCTTTCTCCATACATTTTAACAGAATCAATGATTTTTTGGAAGAAACCTCGGTTCATATCAACTCAAACATGTCCTGAAATGTATGTTAGATCACAAGCTTTGGTTCTTTAACAATAGTATGACATAAACTGAGACGAAGAGAAATGATTTATAGATGCTAGGGTCAGAAGGGAGCTCAATAGGTCATCGAGTCTGACCCCCTGCCCTGGGCAGGAAAGAGCGCTGGGGTCAGACGACCCCAGGCAGGTGCTTGTCCAGTCTCCTCGTGAAGACCCCCAAGATAGGGAACAGCACCACTTCCTTTGGAAGCTCGTTACAGATTCTGGCAACCCTTACTGTGAAGAAGTTCTTTCTAATGTCCAACCTAAATCTGCTCTCTGTCAATTTGTGGCCATTGTTCCTAGTTACTCTAGGGGGTCACCTAGTAAATAGAGCATCTCCTATTCTGTGCTGCCTTCCCCTGATGAATTTATAGGCAGCCACAAGATCACCTCTCAGCCTTCTCTTGTGAACACTAAAGAGATCTAGGTCCCTCAGACTCTCCTTATAGGGCCTCTGACCATACGATTGGCCTCCTCTGGACCCTCTCAAGATTCTCGGCATCCCTCTTGAAGTGCGACGCCCAAAACTGGATGCAGTTCTCCAACTGTGGACTGATCAGTACTGCATAGAGGGGAAGCATCACCTTCCTGGACCTGTTTGTCATGCATCTGCAAATGCATGATAAAGTGCAGTTACCCTTGTTGATCACTTCAGCACATTGACAACTCATGTTCATCTTGGGGTCAACTATGACTCTAAGATCCCTTTTTGCCCCTGTGTTGCTGAGAAGGTCATCCCTCAGCCTGTACGTGTGTTGGTGGTTCTTTTTGCCCAGGTGCAGCACTTTGCACTTGTCTTTGTTGAACTGCATCCTGTTTTGTTCTGCCCATTTTCCAACCTGTCCGGATCCACCTGGATCCATTCCCTACCCTCTGTGTTAACTTTGCCCCATAATTTGGTATCATCTGTGAACTTGTACAGGGTGCTCTCCACGCTCGCATCCAAGTCACTGATAAAGACATTGCATAGCACTGGTCCAAGGACTGAGTCTTGCAGAACTCCACTGCCTACATCCTTTCAGGTCAACATCGACCCATCCACCACCACTCTCTGGGTGCAACCCCTAAGCCAATTTGCCACCCACCACCTGACCGTGTAATCATCTACATCACGGCCTGTCAGTTTATTTACAAGAACAGAATGATACCGTAACGAAGGCCTTCTTAAAGTCTAGGTAGATGACATCTACCTCAACTCCTGCATCTAAGCATTTTGTGACCTGGTCATAAAAATAAACAAGGTTTGTCAGGCAGGATCTACCTGCAGTGAATCTCTGCTGATTTCCTTTCAGCATTATTTCCCCTGCTGGGCTCCCACAGATGTGATCCTTAATGATTTTTTCCAGAGTTTTCCCAAGGATAGGCCAGTTAGGCTCACCTCTATAGTTTCCCGGCTTCTCCTTCCTCCCCTTCTTGAAAATAAGGATCACACTGGCCCTTTTCCAGTCCTCTGGGACCTGAATGGAGCACCACAAGTGCTCAAACAACCATGCCAGCGGTTCTGCTATGACACTGGCCAATTCCTTCAGCACCCTTGGATGAAGATCATCTGGGCCTGCTGATTTGAACACATCCACTCCCTCCAAGTGCCCTTTCATTAAGTCAGCACTAACAGTTGGTGGGTTGGTGTCCCTCCTGTGTCTATCTATGATCCAATTGGGAGATTTGTCTTGGTCTGTGTCTAGGAATACAGATGCAAAGAACTCACTGAGGAGCTCAGCTTTGTGATTCCTTTTTAATTACACTTGAAACAAATGTTTTGTTTCAGCGTTTGCAACACAGACATGTCAACATAATGTTTTAAAACAGTTATTGAACTAGAAACGGGCTATAAACAAATGTAAGATTTACTGTTGTGTTTGCATTGTCTGATTTGAGAGAAATGCAGAAAAATATACTGTAAATATTTTATTCTTTTATTTCAAACAATCATCATAGAAAAAGTTACTGGGGCTAAAAGCTGGATCTTTTTAGACATATAAGACACTAGAAGCATTTGTGATGGCAAAGAGCATGTACTTCAGATATAATTATTATTAGATGCCACCACTCCACGCATTAGGTGGACTGGCTGTTAGTGTTGGCACCTGCACTATGCAGACTTTCCGGTGTTTCCTTTATTGAAATGCAGTCAAATATTGTTGACTTCTTATACCTGCAAATTGGAGGTCTCCTACCCAATATAGAGGGTTTTTTTAATGAGAAATACCAAATTTATTTTTTCTAATCAGTGATCCATGAGGAAGAGACATTCCAGATCTTAAAGTGCTCAAAGGGGCATTTGTTTCAAATTGTAGCTTGAAAGGGGCACTCGAATGACCGAAATCTGATAAGGAACTCTAATGGCCTTTTAGTGACCGGTGATGAAAAGGTCAAAGTTCAAATCTGTGGTTTTGAAGTATTCAGCATTGCATAATGAACTGTTGTAAGAAATCTCAATTCTTGGCTTGGTAGCACCACTGAGATGAATTGTAGCACTCAGTAAGAGCCCAGTCCTTTAAGGTGCTGAGTGCATTTCATATCTATTGTAGTGAAATTTGCACCCATGCAATGTTAGAAAGGCATTAACATTATGTATAAAGACATGGTGCTGCTATTGCTATTTTATTAATTGTGGGTATTGTTATTGTCCCAATGAGGTCCTGGTCTGGTTGGAGCTGGACATTACACAAAAATAATGCACAGTATTACTGTATTTCTGTTTTCAAAAGTTACAAAAATGAACATTATAAGTTGTCTATTTTAAATAATGTAATGTTCAGCACTTAGTGAATACATATTTCTGGCTATATAACATGCCATCTGTCACTGGCCTACCAGTTATTCAGTTGTTCAAAATTTGCCATCTATACCATATTTTCTCACATATAACCTGCACCTTTTTTCCCCAAGCCAGCTGCAGAAAATTGGGGTGTGCATAATATGGCAGGAAGGGTCCCCAGAGTCTGGACATTTGGCAATAGGGGGGCAGACTGATGGCAGCATTAATTGCCATGGCTCCCCTGCCACCAAATGTCTGGTCCCAGGGGAGCTCCCTCTTGTATCAAATGCCAAATCAGGTTGGGGTGGGGGACTGAGAGAGCCGCACACTGGTTCTGGAGCCATGTGCTGGGTTAGAACTGGCACACCAGTCCGGGAGCGTTCTGGATTGGCCCCAGCATGTGGCTCTGGAGCCAGTGAACAGGGTTGGCTAGGAAGGGGCTGGCTGCAACAGCTCTGGAGACAGCATGGAGGGTTGGATCCTGCCTGGCCAATGCTACACACTGGCCCTGAAGCTTCTGTGG